GAGAAGGGAAGGGGAAAGCCCGAGCCTGGCGGCCCCATCGCCGGTCACCGCGGCTCCCTCACCTCCTCGCCAGCCCTCCATCTTGGGGGGGGGGAGGGGGGGAGGAGGAGGGCTGAGGGGGAGCCCGCCTGCGGCTCCGCCCCCCGGAAGAGGGCGGAGGGGGAGAGCGCGGCGCCGGCGCGCGCGGGATCCCTTAACCCCCCCTCCCTCGCGCGAGAGGTTTTGGCGCGCGGCGGCCGCCGCAGCTCGGCGGGTCCTGAGGGGAAGGGGGCGGTGGAGGCGGGAGAGAAGCTCCACGTTCACCCCTCATTCAACATGTCAACCGCATCCTAGGCTGTGCATCCCCAGCAGCGTGGGGAGCAGGGGATTCTGCTCCTCTTCTCCGACCCCGCCTGCAGTCCTGGAGCCCCCAGCTTCAGAAGGAACGGGACCAGAGGAGGCCACGAAGATGATCTGAAGCACCTCTGCTGGGGAGGACAGGCTGAAGGGGTTGGGGTTGTTCAGCCTGGAGAAGAGAAGGCTCTAGGGAGACCTTAGAGAAGCCTTCCAGTACCAGAGGCAGCCTAGAAGAAAAGAAATTTCCAAGGGCACATAGCAATAGGACAAGGGGTAACGACTTCAAACTGGAAGAGGGTAGATTTAGATTACATATCAGGAAGACAATTTTCACTCTGAGGGTGGTGAGGCACTGGAACAGGTTGCCCAGAGAAGCTGTGGCTGCCCCATCCCTGGAGGGGTTCAAGGCCAGGCTGGATGGGGCTTGGAGCAACCTGGTCTGGTGGGAGGTGTCCCTGCCCAGGGCAGGGGAGTTGGAACTAGATGGTTTTTAAGGTCCCTTTGAACCCAAACCCTTCTACAGTTCTATTACACATAACAAAACATCCCTCAGAGATGTCCAGCCACTCACTAGTGCTTAAACATCTCTTCACCTGTATTTAGAAGGGTTGTAGGACTCTGCTGCCTCAACAGTTTTGGGTTTTCCAAGACCCTTTTTAGAAGATTTTACATATGAACTGGTGAACTATTTACCTGTTTTCCTATTTTTCAAACCCCACACAATGTAGTAGTATTTATACCTATGCTATGCAGTAGCTGGTGCTTTTGTGAGGTAGGAAAAAAAATAAAATCGAAATATATATTCTGTAAATACAAAACAGCTTGGGAAGCTGGTAAAAAAAAAACACAATAAACAGGTAATTGAACACAGGTTTCTTCAAATCCAGCCAGGCAGCCCTTGCTCTAGTTTGTGTCTCCAGTTTTGAGGCTCTACTGTATGAGTTCGCTTTATAAGAGAATATCTATCCCTCAGGGTGAACTGTTGCCCCTTAAGTGCACATTAGGGCGAGACCCTTAAATCCTCAAGCTTCACCCACCTGCTCCATCTCCTTCTTACTGCTCCTCTACCTAAAATGAAAAAAACCTGCCAGCTTAGATCCAAACAAATGTGTGACAACATACAGATTAGAACAGCACCCCACAAAATGGAGGATGCCGGGGTTCTGCATAAAAACCATTTTATTAATAACACATAAATAAGCACATATTTTTTCAGGTAACACCACAAAACCATTTTGTGGTAGCTCCAGAAAAAAAGTCCCACTCAAGAGGCCAGTGCAAATGGGCATCACCTCCACGGTTTCAGGCAACATCAGGACCACACAGGACTTGAGTACAGTTTGGTACAGTCCTTGGTTCAATGCTATGCTGCTGAAGCCAGATATACTGATATAATTAGTCCAAGGAAAAAAAAAATCTTTAGACTATGCAATATGCTTGTTGCTGAACCACAAGCATGAGTTTTGTCCTCTGAATTTTGAAGAGGCACTGGTAATTCAATGCTCTGCTGTGTGCCTTGACTAACACCAGGCTTTCCACTCCAAACAGACTCGGTGACGGATTAATGTTTTACTTCAGTTTCTTACAGTCCTCTAAGAATCACCTAGATCATCTTGGAGAGAGTCACCACTTTGGCAAGAAAAGCCAACAGGAGACAAAAATCAACTTCAAAGAGCGTTGCCTTTCAAAGGAGACTATGACGCCACTTCAACAGTGATGATTTCACACTTTCCAGTATCTTGATCTGTGCAGGTGACGTGCAAGGACCCATCCCTAGATAGAAGAGAAAGGTATGTTTAGGATTCTCTCAGCAAAACAGTATGTTACTGCTTGTTCCAGAGAGGATAAACAACAGTCTGCGTGCAGAGGAAAGGAAGAAAGAGGAGTCTCAAAACATCCAGGGAAGAACATGCTTCGACACAGACAAAATTTATGAAATCGAGTTTAGTTTGAATATTTAGATACACACTTCTTGCTCTCCATTAAAGCATTTAGCTGTTCTACATATGGTGGAAAAGATTCAGGACTGTAAGTTCATTTGTTACAGGTTTGTAAGTAGAGTATGCATTAATATTGTTCAAAATATTCATCGTCAACTCTGATTAACAGCAACCAACAGATAAGCATGTCTTCTCAAAGCATGAGAACTTGACTTTTAAAAGCAGTAGTGGCCTTTAAATACCAAGGATCTCCATCAAGAAGGAAAAACATAAGTTTTCAAAATCCAAGGATCAGAGACAATATTGAATCCTACTTCATCTAGGATTACAACAGCCTTACATTGTAATTAGACAAAACCAGATGTGTTAAAGTGAACTTTCCTTAATCTTTTTCATCTAAGTATTACTGAAGACCCCTTTAAAATATTGCAGGTTTTCTGCACTACACAGCTACATATATAGCCCCTAAGATGTTCTGCTTATCCACGCAAAGTGCAAGTCTCCATATGACTAAGGCAGCATTTTAGGTGAAGTCTGTTAATAGAGCATTGACACACCTGACAGTGAACAGAAGAAAATGAAGTATTTTGAACTCAAATAACAAGTAGGGATTCAGTTTTTCAGCAACATCAGGACAACTCTCATATCATTTAGAAAAGCAATATGAACTTCAGGATAATCCTCAGAAGATAAACATACTTTGGCTACTTAGAATTCCACCTTCTGGTATCTTTATAAACTATTCAGACTATTTCAAATGAGCCCAACCACTCCTATTAAGACCTAAGAAAGTTAAAGAAATTTCTTCAATATTGTGTCATCCACATTCCCCACCCCGCCCATAAGATACTTTGTATTTTCCCGTAAGAACCAGGTAATTCTGTAAAAAGACAGATTTTACTTGTGTTTTTCCTAGGAGCGTGGGCTCAGAGCTACCCGACCCGTTCCACAGGAAGTTTGAGATTCTGACTGCTCTCAAGCACTGGTAAACTGATCAACAGTTCAAAAGTTGCTACAAAATTATTTATACAACTCTGAAGCTTTATTTCTTTAGGAATCAAACAATGAAAGCACAGAAAGTACTGTATAAAACCTACAGAGTTTACCCCTGCTAGGACACAGCCCTGGAAGCAATGAAATTGCTGGAATTTCTCAACACAAAACTAAACATTCAAGAGAATGTAACTAAGGAACAGGCTGCTTGTCGCGAGTGTGACACAGCAAGTTAAACAGCAGAACAACAAATAATTTCAGGTACCTTTTCATAGTGAGAACAGTTAGTATGTCATGTAGGCCATCCTCTTTCTTATCTAAATCCTGGAGTACAATCTATTTATGAAAAAAAATATAATCAAATGTTAAGTTATAATCAAGTTCTCTAAATCCTCGCACAGTGGTTTAATGGAAGCGACCCAATATCTAATGTTTGCAATTCATTCTGTCTAGCCTCTCATACCAATAATTTAAAAAAAATTTAAGCATGCCCTAGAGGGCTCACTCATCCGTACTGCAAATCTATGTATTTTTAGCTATTGGCACTACTATTTCAGTGGTTTGTTTCCAGGTCTATCACCAAGATAGCTGGAGTACCTACCCCTTGCACAGCAGTTTAATGGAAGTGACCCAACATCTAAGGTTTGCAATTCATGCTGTTTAGCCTCTCATACCAATAATTCAAAAATCAAAGCATGCCCTAAAAGGCTTCACTCATCCATAGTGCAAATCTGTGTATTTTTAGCTATTTGCACTACCATTTCAGTGGTTTGTTTCCGGGTCTATCACCAAGATAGCTGGAGTACCTACAACCAGCTCCCACAGACCACATTAAGAGGCGAGCATGTTCCTTAGAATCAGTTTTCTAATTATTAGGTAACATCCTTTCCCCATTCCCTTACAGATCTTTGGGCAGGAATAAGGTGGAATAACAATTTTCTCAAGTATTCCATCCATTACAGCCATACCTGCCCCCTCCCTGGTGCTTTAGGTGCCCTGAAGCCAAGGTAAGCACATCACCTCTCTTTCAAACAAGCTGAGTTCTCTCAATAGGTTGAGTCCTGAGTTATATCTTTATATCGGGTGAGGATTTAACGAAATCATCTTACCACTGTGAAAAATCAGATGTGGTATTTAATAGCAAGATCCTGTCCCATTTAGAAAGTTCAAGAATTAATCAACAGTATGTACAACAGCACCTCCATCACCACCTCCAGCAGTTTTATTTCTAAAATGTTGGAGATGTGCACTACTGGAACAACCGGTTATGATCCCTACTGACTACAGTAGTGCTAGGTGTCAAACCCCAACGGGCATTTAGAAATTCAAAAGGGAAACTTTGATTTCTTTAGAAGTGCTTCAATTCTTCAAAAACACATTGCTAGAAGAACGCTTAAAGGCTGTTTCCTTAGAGACTCAAGTCATTCTAATTTTATAACAAGGAGTTTTAGTAGGGGTGGGATTGTTTTCAGTTTTATATTTTTAATATTTTTTCTTTTTCAGATCCACTTGATTTCCAAGCAGTTAATATTAAATGTGTGTATGAATGTGTATATACTCAACCTGTGCAAATTTCCCTCCTTCATTCACGGGACTTTCCCCCAGTGACTCGTACAGCTCAAGGCAGACAGAAGAGGTGTTTCCAGGAGCGTGCAGGGTGTGCTGCCTTCGAGCCGGCAGCGGCGTCCCTGATGGAAATAGCACCGTGAATTTGTCAGCCCCTGACTCGTCTACTCCCTTTAAAAAAGGAAAAAAAAAGTTCATGCCTTTCTCTTAAGTACTTCAGTGAGCTGGAAGTGTTAGAGTAGCACTCCATGAGAAAAGAAATCTAAGATTCATTCTCTCTGCCACATTTACCATCAAAGCAATTAAAAAAAAAATTCCTAGAAATAAATGCAAGAGTCCAGCTGTTACAACGCAGCTGAGACACAATCTCCCCTTAAAAATCAAGCAGTTTTTCCTGTCAATTTTTTAATAAACTTAAGTTACGACTTATAGCTGATCTGTAGATCCAATAATAAAACAACACTGTTTCTCTTACATCAATCGTGCATAATTATTGCTGTATATTCATTGCAGCAGTAAAATTTTTTTAAGTTAAATCATTTTAGCCTTACCTTCAGAAGAATATCTTTGGCAGAACACTCAATAAAGAGTGCTTCTTCTTCCAACAAAGGATTCTCTTTCCCTAGCAGAATTCCTGCCTCTATGGCTGCACCAATGGGAATAACTTCATCTGGAGGAATCGAATTCAGCAATTCCACAGTTGGGAAAATGTCTTTGATCAGCTGCTGTAGCTTTGGGATTCGAGCAGACCCACCACACAGAACTACCTGGAAAACATGCCTTAATGATTTCAAATCTTTCTTCTGACAGATAAAAACAGACAGGTCAAAACCTGCAACACAGAAATGCAAACTGCTCTGGGATATTTTACCATCTGTAATTGTTAAAAGAAAAACTGATGCCATCTTTGCTTGACTTCTCTTGCTTTTGTATATGTATAAATATCTTGCAAGTTTGAAATGGTACATTGAAAAAGTGTTTCTTAAAGTAAGCATCAACTAGATGAAGTAACTTCTTAAAAATTGAGGAATTCATCATAAAGTAGCACTTGGAAGGGATCTCCAGACATCTAATCCAACTTTCTGCCCAGAACAGGTCCAGTTACAACAGGCTGCTCAGGACCTTATCTCCATGGACAGAGATTCCACGGACTCTGTGGGCCCTTGTTTCAGTGTTTGATCACCCTCACACTACAAGTTCGTTAAGATTTCTTCATGTTGTAACCTGTGCTGCTCACCATTGTGCACCTACAGGTTAACAGGGACACTACATGGCATCAGCCCCAGTATCAAATCCTGGTCACTGACACCCAGCCATCACTTACTGAGCTTGTGCAAGAAAAATCTCTTCAAACCCTTATCTTACAGTAACTTCATCGAGATCAACCAGATCTAGAAACAAAGCTAATTCCCACCTTTTTTCATGTAAAACATAAAAGTTGTAGATTAGATTCATTTTTTTTACATTTATATTGTGTCTCCTCTCTCAAGCATTAAGACCTGTGAGAACAGCACACTGGGCCACCAAAAAATACCACCATTAGAGAACAAAAGACTTCTCTGAACAATGGCCTGGGCTACTTCATTATTCTGCCAGTGAAACTCAGGTGTGACACAGCAAGCACTGAGAGTCTGAAATAGCATCAAGTATCATTAAAAGCACCAGCTAAATTTTGCTGCAGAATTCACGTGCCAACTCCATCAGCAACACACACAGCACTATCTGCCACACACAGGTTAGATGAAGCTAATTCCCTCATACCAAAGCAAAAAAGACATTTGGATGAAAATATTAATATTTGCTGCTTAAGTTACTATCTTTGGTATTAAAGCATTCTACAGTTTGGCATCTAATGCATTCCTACATTTTTTTTAAGCTGACAAGGACAAACATGGGCACCAAGTAGACACTAAGCAATTTGTTCAACTCGTAATGAAAAAAACCATCAAAACTCAGGCTTTCTTCAGAAGTGTCTGCAAACCCCATCCAAAACTTAGTGAAGGCAGAAGAAAGTCTATATACTAAAGAAACTACTCCTCTGCTCTACCAAGTTACACAAACACACCAAATCCTCTACTGTTTACTCAATATGTAGTAGTAAAAACACAGCATTGATTCTGAAACTACTTTGTACTTAAGTTTAAATAACCAAAATCAAAGCAAACACAGGATTTCTAAAGATCTTGAGTCTATGTACTTTAAGCATTTTTGGCTCGGACTCAGCGAACTCAGGAAATAATTTCAGTCTGCAAAGAGAACAGGCCCTGAAAATATTCTTCTTGTGGAGTTATAAAGCGTACTAGAGACAAATGACTCCTATTATTACCTTATTAATATCATCTGCTGTAAATCCAACTTGCTGCAAGAGCTTTTTAATTGCTTCTACACATTTACTAAAGAGTGAAGAACAGATAAGTTCAAATCTGGCCCTAAAAGAGGAAAAAAAAAAAAAGACGTGTCATTTCATCCATTAGAGAAATACTTGAAATAGAAGAACAATCACTTCTAGAACATATTTTGTTTCTCTAGCTATATCTGCTACTAAGTTTTTAAAAACAGTAAAAAAATATCTTATTTCCCAATTATTCATCTTGAAGATGTGATTTTTATTGTTTTGAGATATCTGTGCCATCGATTCCATCATTAACACCCACATGAAATGCACATTCATTCTTCAGCGTACTCTAGAGAAAACACAGTATTATTGTCTTGACTCATATGTGGGAAAAAAAGAAAAAATGCTGGAACTGCTTCATCACCTTTAAAATGGAGACACAGACTCAAACATGCCTCTTGAATTTTCAGAGGCAAATCAAGCTGTGTCCCTCTTTGCACACAGGGAGTAGGTACTTAAGCAAGTTGAAAAACAAACTGGTGCATGCTTTGGGCTCTTTCAAGCCTGAAAAGGAAGTTTTACTCTGTATGAATACAGCAAGTCAACCTCTGCAACGTGAGTCCACAGGATTAGCATTCTTACCCAAAACTGAGCTGACTAGAAAAGAAATTAAAATCAGCTAAACTTCTTAATAAGAGATCACCCTAAGAGAGAAAAGACTTGGGAGGAGGACACAGCAGCATGAACAAGAAGACAGAAAACATCTACTCCAGCTGCCAAAAAGAGGCAACAAAGACTTCCATGACTCCTATCACTCTGAAGCTCATTTAAATCAAAGAGTCCAAAAGTCTGCTCTTCTTTAAGGAAAATCCAGTAACAAAACCATTAACACACAGGGATGAACCACCTTCAGTAATTACAGTTTTTATTCCCCTTTCATCAATAACCAGACACCAAAGATTGGGGACGGTGTCCTCCTTGTGCCTTTTTGCACTTTTTTTCCTAACCTTTGGGCAACATTGTTAGTGCTACCACCCCACCTACTAGAGAACACATCGTAACAGAATCATCAATATGGAACAAAGCAAGTTGGTCTTCTATCTTCTCTTTCTAATATTAGTGCCATAAAAAAAATAAAAAGCAAAGCTTATTGAATACCTTAATTACCACCTAGATTTCAAGTATCATTTTATATAAAATATTCAAGATTTGCTTTACCTGGACACATTACAATCAAAATCCAATCCATCATACAGTGAATCTACAAAACAGTTTGCACTTCCCAGGGTTGATAACGAGTGCTTTGCAATATCAGCACTGTTCATTAACTTCATCATGGCTCTGGGATTTCCTCTAATATCATGTTTACAAGACCTATACAAAAAAAACACCAAGAGAGATAACAGTATAGAAAGGTAGGCATTTGAGCAGTAACACTAACTTTCTGAAAGGAATAATAGATTAAAGATATCAATTTTTTTTCTCTACACATTTTAGTATTATCTACAATGCCAATTGAAAGCTCGCAAAGAATAAAAGTGTCTATTTCAATTTCAACTAAAGAACACTGTGAGAGTCACCCTGAGCTCAGGCATTAATATTTATCACACAGAGTTAAGTCTTTTCTAAAGAGTTTCTCAGCTGAGCAAATCATACAAGTGACTGCAAGGAACAGCAGGAAAAGGCCTGCAAGTTTACAAATTTTAACCACAGGCTAAGATGACATTAGAACATTAGACATGCCAAAAAATAGTATGTTTCATCTAAAAAGTCTCCTTCTGTGCTACTATGCAACTGACCACCTCAAGATCATTACAGCTAATGTAATTCACTATTTATTTTTATTTATGTTTTATTTTTGTTCATTGTAAGATGAACGTGCCACAGAGACTTCAGCCTGATGACCCAAGCTCTGCCACACACCAACAAGAAAACCAAAGAAACCCCAGACAGGTGAGTTCCTTGCCACCCCAAAAGCTTGTGACTGAAAGGACATCAGCAGCCCGTAGTCACATACATCACCCAGAACAGTTTCACAGCTGATCCCTTATCCCTCAACACCAACTTCAGCCAACATCTACCCAATCCCGAGCATTTCCCAGTCTTCCTCCTTGGCCCCCAACAACTGACTGCTCCTTTAATATCTTTGAGGCATTTCACTCGCAGACAGTCTGCTAATCCGACAGCCTGACATGAATTCTTTTTTGTTTGTTTTGGAAAGCAAGCATCAGATAACGAAGTTCCTGTCCTAACAGCAACATGCTTGGAATTCAAAACCTACCTCTGAAATTCAGAAGCTAAGTGTTGTGCCAGAGCTTCTGTGAAGCAAACGCCGCCAATGCTATCATCTGTGTTTGTAGCAAGCACACGATATATTCCACTGTTTACTTCTATGACCGTGATAGAAAGCGATGTTCCACCAAGTTTATAAACCAACACATTGCTGCCACGTCAAAAAAAAAAGTAGCATTAATAAGCCATCTAAAATTATGTTTACTTTGACACTTTCTAAAAAGATGACCATCCTATCACATACTGCAGGTTTTAATCAGTTTTCTTAAGAGAATTTTATTTGGGGTGTTTGTATTTCATGCAACTTAGTACCACTGATTACTTGACAACGTTCCCTGAAGGACAAAATTAATCTATTTCATACAGTGAGAGCAGTCAACATTTTTCCTATAACACAACTGGGAAACGAACATTACATTCAAAATTACAGGCAGGAATTATATGAGAAGGGTAAAAAAAGACCAACCAAGAAGAAAAAAGACAACACATCTGTTTGCACTGGCATCAGTCATTGCTATTTTGAAAATCTTGTGAATTATGTGAATATTCATAAGGGAAACCCAATGCACCTACTGAACCCAGGACTGGGCTTTAGTTCTTTCAGCATACGCAAAATGACCCCAGCTCCCACAATTAAAAAAAAAACCACAGCTATGCCAAAATACATTTAAGGGATGCCTTTTTCTTCAAGCCAATCAGCTCATTAAAGAGCAAGCAGAATCTTTAAAGACAATTCTAAAAATTCTAAAAAAACCACGAAAAATTGAAACAAAACAAAAAACACCCAACAGAACAAAAGGATTTAAAACACTACGGATTTACATCTTCTAATTTGTTATTGGCTTTATTGAGAGAAAAAAGAAAAACAAGCCTCAAATCATTAATTTTCTATTGACTGCTAAGGCAACATAGAATTCCCTCATTTAAGATTTCTCAGGATTTAAGTTCAGCAGCTTAAATTTAAGAAGTAAAATATTAGGATTTTACCTTTTCCCAGTGGGTGAATCTTGGCCAATTCCATAAGCCAGGAGAGCGGCAGACGGTTCATGAATTAATCTCATAACATTAAATCCAGCAGCTGCAGCTGCTTCCCTGTGATAAAGGCATAACAGTATTTCATTTTACTTTAATGATTTCACTATAGTCACGCACGGTCTTAAGATTTCATCTGAACTACATATGCCACCAACTCAGAACTTGGTTACAGCATGCTATGAACAAAGACTGGAAAAAGAAAGGTATCAACAAGTTCAGTTGCTGCTGCATTCTTCAGGTAGTTCTATCTGCTGCGTGCTCATTGTCAAAGAAAACCCTGATGTATCAGCCTACAAACCCCGTAAAAAACAGCAAACCCTCCCCCCTAAAATAGAAGATGAAAAACCCCACCCTCAACCAAACTTCATCACTTATCTTTAAGTGTGGCATTAAAAGTTCTTGGTACTTTATTTCACCACATCATACTAAGAAAATTGCTTTGACATCCAAATCCAGGTAGCACTCTTCACTTCTAACGTGTCCTTTACATGCCTTCTTGACATTTCAGTAACCCTGGGACTGCCCTACAAGTTGTTTCCTCCACTTTGGTTATTCTGAGACTTGTATGCCAAAGCAATAGAATGTTTTCTAATACATACTGCAACTACCCAGCTCACCAATGTTTTATGGCCAACTTCAAATTTCTTTTAAGTATTTCATGACAGTTAAACATAAGGGCTTAAAATACACACTACCAGTTATGTACAGCTTTAAGTCTACATGCTTTCACATGAAGGAACTTTTACAGCAGAAATTTTTCCAAAAAGAACTTGCAAGTAGAATATTGGTGTGTATTCCATGTCTGCTCTCTGAGAAAACAGTCCTCAATAAAGTCATGTAACACTACTTGGTTTGGTGAGTACTGTTGTACAAAGGGATGGGAAACTGATTGCATTTCAAAGGGGACACTGAAGATCCGAATCTGAAATGACATTCTATCCTTGATGATACCAGAATTCCCTCCCACTTCAATTGATTCAGAATTTCATTTTGGTTGCAATAGTGAATTCCAAGTCAGAATTTAATCTCCTGCTTTCGTATTTTCCCAATTAAGAAAGTATCCCTATGTCTTGGCTGAGAGTCACAAGCTCAAGTCCAGCAGGAGAATTCCCATTGCTGGTCTCCCAGCCGGTCTGCTTTAGGCATGATAAATAACAAAAAAAAGAAAAGTCTTAATCCTCTTACCCAAGGGCATTTTTCTGATTCTCTCCAAAATCAAATGGTACAGTGATAACAACGTCATTTACATCTGAACCCAATGCAGACTGAGCAGTTTCTGTTTATAAACATAGGCAGAACATGTTGATTAAAAGCAAAAAAAAAAATCAATATACCACATCTTAAAAATAAGACGACAGCTTAAAACACAAAACCAGACATGTCATGATTTTACTTATTATATACCTTTCATTTTACTAAAAATTAGTTTTGCGACGTCTTCTGGGTTAATAAGTTTATTATCGATTTCATATTGAAGTTTTCCATTCTTCTCAATTATCTGTAAGCAAAACCAACACACCTTTATTAGATACATTATTTGGTTATTAACAGAGAGCAATGTTTAATTCTGTTTCTGTTCGCAGTATTTTTATCACAAGATGTTGTAACCTGTGTTTTCTCCCAAAGCTAGGAAACATCACAATACTATTATTCAAATATATTAAGAATCATCCCTTTGGACAATTGCAAGAATTATATATTTTTTCTGTTAGACTATATTACAATGGCAGATCTCAGAATAAGATACATTGTCTACTTTATACAAAGAGAAATATTCTATACAGCAACAAATTGAACTCATACAATGACAGCTGACACTACAGAACACAAACACGATGTGGCACAAACAATGCCTAGAAGAAAAGTGTAAAATGATGGCAGTTACAAGAGAAACAACAAGAGAAAACTAGATGATACTCACAGAACATTTGCTTTCTGCAATATATTTCTCTGCCTGGGGGTCACCAGAGCTGTCCAGACAAATACAAACCAACAAAATAAATCATATGCTCAAGGGTAACTGCACAAATTCATCTTGCTGATATTCCTTATAACATCTACAGCATATGAAGCCCTACTTCAACCAAAATTCCTGTTTCCACTCTATGGATACATTGACACAGGAGAAAAAACAACAGTTCTGATTGCTCGTATCTTTCAGTTTCCTTTCCCCAAACTAGTAGTAGAAAAAAATACTGACTAGATAGTGAGAAGGGAAAACAAAAACCAACACATTGTTTTAACCTGCTAGCCCCAATAATCACTATTGAAAGATTTTAGTGGCACTTTTGTTGCACTGACTGAAATAACACAACAGCAGTAAGATGACTATCCTTATTCCTCTACTAACTACGTCAAGTTACACATCTCAAAAGCGCTGAGAAATTCATCAGATCAGACATTGTCATGTCAGCTCCTTCCAGTGAGAACTGTAACACAGCCGGGTCATCACTGAGTTCTGTCCCATCTCTGATGTAAGACCCAAACCAACAAGTTTAGTTCCAGCATCACTGCAACTGCCAATGCAAACTCTCACCGCTCCGCTAACTGATGAATCCCAATAAGCATTACATCTATGTTTCATGACTGTAACAAAACCAATACACAGTTTCATGTAAGTAAAAACACAGTAGATTTTAGAGAAGGGTTTTTTTTGTTGGCTTTTTTTTTTTAGAAAACATCCAGGTAACAAGATGCTTTCATTAAGAAACTGAAGTATGCAGCTTATATGCTGCATTGGGGAGGGACTCTTTGCCAGGAAGGGTAATGATAGGACAAGGGGAAACAGTTTTAAATTGGAAGAAAAAAGATTCAGATTATATCTCAGGAAGAAATTTTTTAACTATGAGGGTGGTGAGACACTGGCACAGGTTGCCCAGAGAAGCTGTGGCTGCCCCATCCCTGGAGGTGTTCAAGGCCAGGCTGGATGGGGCTTGGAGCAACCTGCTCTGGTGGGAGGTGTCCCTGCCCATGGCAGGAGGGTGGGAACTGGATGATCTTTGAGGTCCCTTCCAACCCAAACCATTCTATGATTCTATGCAACTTGTTACCGAATTTAAGACTTTGACTTTCACATACAAATTCAGACAGAAAAAACACACATCTCTTTACTTTTCATACTGAAATGAAATGTAGAATAAGCAGTTCATAATATACTCAATTTTTAAGATCTGGCATACCATCCTGTCAGTGCGAGATTAATTTAACTCCTATCACACCAGGTTCAAATGCCTTCAACATCGGCCCTGAGGCTGCTTTTCACTGCCCAGCTTTAATGGGGGAAACCGACCTTTTCACCCTCCCTTTCACACCTGTGCTCTTACCTTCGCCCGAGGATCTGCTTTACTTTCACTACGGTGTTTGCGATGTTTCTTATCCTGCTCTGCTTTGCAGCTAAGCCAACAACCTGAGGGAAAAATAAAGAAAAAAGAAAAAAAAAAAAGGAAATAAGTGAGCAGCAGGCAGCGCTCCCCTCCCCTCCCGTCCAGACCCCCACCGCGGAGGGGAACCCTCACCTCCTCGCTCTCCGAGAAGGCCACCACGGCAGGAGTGACCCTGTCCCCGGCGTCGTTGGCGACCACATCGGCGCGACCATCCTGTGGAGAGAGGCGTCCCCTCAGGGCTCCACCCGCTGCGTAACCCCCGAGGGAGCAGAGACAGCAGCGAGCCACCGCCTCCCACCCCCGCTAAGGACCCTTTCCGCAGCAGCCACGCCGCCCCCAGCCCGCCCCGGCCCCTCACCTTATAGACGGCGGCGCAGGCACAGGTAGCGCCCAGGTGAACGCCGATGGCGGCCATCAGCCCCTCAGCCTCCACGCGCGCCCGCCGCCCCAGCATGCACCGCGCGCTCCCCTCCCCTTCCCGCCCGGCCCCCAACCAATCCCGCTCCCCGCTTCTCCTCGGCCGCCAATCAAAGCCCTCACCGCCCCCTCATCCTCAGAAGATAAACATACTTTGGCTACTTAGAATTCCACCTTCTGGTATCTTTATAAACTATTCAGACTATTTCAAATGAGCCCAACCACTCCTATTAAGACCTAAGAAAGTTAAAGAAATTTCTTCAATATTGTGTCATCCACATTCCCCACCCCGCCCATAAGATACTTTGTATTTTCCCGTAAGAACCAGGTAATTCTGTAAAAAGACAGATTTTAATTGTGTTTTTCCTAGGAGCGTGGGCTCAGAGCTACCCGACCCGTTCCACAGGAAGTTTGAGATTCTGACTGCTCTCAAGCACTGGTAAACTGATCAACAGTTCAAAAGTTGCTACAAAATTATTTATACAACTCTGAAGCTTTATTTCTTTAGGAATCAAACAATGAAAGCACAGAAAGTACTGTATAAAACCTACAGAGTTTACCCCTGCTAGGACACAGCCCTGGAAGCAATGAAATTGCTGGAATTTCTCAACACAAAACTAAACATTCAAGAGAATGTAACTAAGGAACAGGCTGCTTGTCGCGAGTGTGACACAGCAAGTTAAACAGCAGAACAACAAATAATTTCAGGTACCTTTTCATAGTGAGAACAGTTAGTATGTCATGTAGGCCATCCTCTTTCTTATCTAAATCCTGGAGTACAATCTATTTATGAAAAAAAATATAATCAAATGTTAAGTTATAATCAAGTTCTCTAAACCCTTGCACAGCAGTTTAATGGAAGTGACCCAACATCTAAGGTTTGCAATTCATGCTGTTTAGCCTCTCATACCAATAATTCAAAAATCAAAGCATGCCCTAAAAGGCTTCACTCATCCATAGTGCAAATCTGTGTATTTTTAGCTATTTGCACTACCATTTCAGTGGTTTGTTTCCGGGTCTATCACCAAGATAGCTGGAGTACCTACAACCAACTCCCACAGACCCCATTAAGAGGCGAGCATGTTCCTTAGAATCAGTTTTCTAATTATTAGGTAACATCCTTTCCCCATTCCCTTACAGATCTTTGGGCAGGAATAAGGTGGAATAACAATTTTCTCAAGTATTCCATCCATTACAGCCATACCTGCCCCCTCCCTGGTGCTTTAGGTGCCCTGAAGCCAAGGTAAGCACATCACCTCTCTTTCAAACAAGCTGGGTTCTCTCAATAGGTTGAGTCCTGAGTTATATCTTTACATCGGGTGAGGATTTAACGAAATCATCTTACCACTGTGAAAAATCAGATGTGGTATTTAATAGCAAGATCCTGTCCCATTTAGAAAGTTCAAGAATTAATCAACAGTATGTACAACAGCACCTCCATCACCACCTCCAGCAGTTTTATTTCTAAAATGTTGGAGATGTGCACTACTGGAACAACCGGTTATGATCCCTACTGACTACAGTTGTGCCAAGTGTCAAACCCCGACAGGCATTTAGAAATTCAAAAGGGAAACTTTGATTTCTTTAGAAGTGCTTCAATTCTTCAAAAACACATTGCTGGAAGAACGCTTAAAGGCTGTTTCCTTAGAGACTCAAGTCATTCTAATTTTATAACAAGAAGGTTTAGTAGGGGTGGGATTGTTTTCAGAAAAAATATTAAAAATATAAAACTTTTTCAGATCCACTTGATTTCCAAGCAGTTAATATTAAATGTGTGTATGAATGTGTATATACTCAACCTGTGCAAATTTCCCTCCTTCATTCACGGGACTTTCCCCCAGTGACTCGTACAGCTCAAGGCAGACAGAAGAGGTGTTTCCAGGAGCGTGCAGGGTGTGCTGCCTTCGAGCCGGCAGCGGCGTCCCTGATGGAAATAGCACCGTGAATTTGTCAGCCCCTGACTCGTCTACTCCCTTTAAAAAAGGAAAAAAAAAGTTCATGCCTTTCTCTTAAGTACTTCAGTGAGCTGGAAGTGTTAGAGTAGCACTCCATGAGAAAAGAAATCTAAGATTCATTCTCTCTGCCACATTTACCATCAAAGCAATTAAAAAAAAAATTCCTAGAAATAAATGCAAGAGTCCAGCTGTTACAACGCAGCTGAGACACAATCTCCCCTTAAAAATCAAGCAGTTTTTCCTGTCAATTTTTTAATAAACTTAAGTTACGACTTATAGCTGATCTGTAGATCCAATAATAAAACAACACTGTTAAGATTCATTCTCTCTGCCACATTTACCATCAAAGCAATTAAAAAAAAAATTCCTAGAAATAAATGCAAGAGTCCAGCTGTTACAACGCAGCTGAGACACAATCTCCCCTTAAAAATCAAGCAGTTTTTCCTGTCAATTTTTTATTAATAAACCTAAATTACCACTTACAGCTAATCTGTAGATCCAATAATAAAACAACACTGTTTCTCTAACATCAATTGTGTGTAACTAGTGCTGTATATTCATTACAGCAGTAAAATTTTTTAAGTTAAATCATTTTAGCCTTACCTTCAGAAGAATATCTTTGGCAGAACACTCAATAAAGAGTGCTTCTTCTTCCAACAAAGGATTCTCTTTCCCTAGCAGAATTCTACATCAATCGTGCATAATTATTGCTGTATATTCATTGCAGCAGTAAAATTTTTTTAAGTTAAATCATTTTAGCCTTACCTAACATCAATTGTGTGTAACTAGTGCTGTATATTCATTACAGCAGTAAAATTTTTTAAGTTAAATCATTTTAGCCTTACCTTCAGAAGAATATCTTTGGCAGAACACTCAATAAAGAGTGCTTCTTCTTCCAACAAAGGATTCTCTTTCCCTAGCAGAATTCCTGCCTCTATGGCTGCACCAATGGGAATAACTTCATCTGGAGGAATCGAATTCAGCAATTCCACAGTTGGGAAAATGTCTTTGATCAGCTGCTGTAGCTTTGGGATTCGAGCAGACCCACCACACAGAACTACCTGGAAAACATGCCTTAATGATTTCAAATCTTTCTTCTGACAGATAAAAACAGACAGGTCAAAACCTGCAACACAGAAATGCAAACTGCTCTGGGATATTTTACCATCTGTAATTGTTAAAAGAAAAACTGATGCCATCTTTGCTTGACTTCTCTTGCTTTTGTATATGTATAAATATCTTGCAAGTTTGAAATGGTACATTGAAAAAGTGTTTCTTAAAGTAAGCATCAACTAGATGAAGTAACTTCTTAAAAATTGAGGAATTCATCATAAAGTAGCACTTGGAAGGGATCTCCAGACATCTAATCCAACTTTCTGCCCAGAACAGGTCCAGTTACAACAGGCTGCTCAGGACCTTATCTCCATGGACAGAGATTCCACGGACTCTGTGGGCCCTTGTTTCAGTGTTTGATCACCCTCACACTACAAGTTCGTTAAGATTTCTTCATGTTGTAACCTGTGCTGCTCACCATTGTGCACCTACAGGTTAACAGGGACACTACATGGCATCAGCCCCAGTATCAAATCCTGGTCACTGACACCCAGCCATCACTTACTGAGCTTGTGCAAGAAAAATCTCTTCAAACCCTTATCTTACAGTAACTTCATCGAGATCAACCAGATCTAGAAACAAAGCTAATTCCCACCTTTTTTCATGTAAAACATAAAAGTTGTAGATTAGATTCATTTTTTTTACATTTATATTGTGTCTCCTCTCTCAAGCATTAAGACCTGTGAGAACAGCACACTGGGCCACCAAAAAATACCACCATTAGAGAACAAAAGACTTCTCTGAACAATGGCCTGGGCTACTTCATTATTCTGCCAGTGAAACTCAGGTGTGACACAGCAAGCACTGAGAGTCTGAAATAGCATCAAGTATCATTAAAAGCACCAGCTAAATTTTGCTGCAGAATTCACGTGCCAACTCCATCAGCAACACACACAGCACTATCTGCCACACACAGGTTAGATGAAGCTAATTCCCTCATACCAAAGCAAAAAAGACATTTGGATGAAAATATTAATATTTGCTGCTTAAGTTACTATCTTTGGTATTAAAGCATTCTACAGTTTGGCATCTAATGCATTCCTACATTTTTTTTAAGCTGACAAGGACAAACATGGGCACCAAGTAGACACTAAGCAATTTGTTCAACTCGTAATGAAAAAAACCATCAAAACTCAGGCTTTCTTCAGAAGTGTCTGCAAACCCCATCCAAAACTTAGTGAAGGCAGAAGAAAGTCTATATACTAAAGAAACTACTCCTCTGCTCTACCAAGTTACACAAACACACCAAATCCTCTACTGTTTACTCAATATGTAGTAGTAAAAACACAGCATTGATTCTGAAACTACTTTGTACTTAAGTTTAAATAACCAAAATCAAAGCAAACACAGGATTTCTAAAGATCTTGAGTCTATGTACTTTAAGCATTTTTGGCTCGGACTCAGCGAACTCAGGAAATAATTTCAGTCTGCAAAGAGAACAGGCCCTGAAAATATTCTTCTTGTGGAGTTATAAAGCGTACTAGAGACAAATGACTCCTATTATTACCTTATTAATATCATCTGCTGTAAATCCAACTTGCTGCAAGAGCTTTTTAATTGCTTCTACACATTTACTAAAGAGTGAAGAACAGATAAGTTCAAATCTGGCCCTAAAAGAGGAAAAAAAAAAAAAGACGTGTCATTTCATCCATTAGAGAAATACTTGAAATAGAAGAACAATCACTTCTAGAACATATTTTGTTTCTCTAGCTATATCTGCTACTAAGTTTTTAAAAACAGTAAAAAAATATCTTATTTCCCAATTATTCATCTTGAAGATGTGATTTTTATTGTTTTGAGATATCTGTGCCATCGATTCCATCATTAACACCCACATGAAATGCACATTCATTCTTCAGCGTACTCTAGAGAAAACACAGTATTATTGTCTTGACTCATATGTGGGAAAAAAAGAAAAAATGCTGGAACTGCTTCATCACCTTTAAAATGGAGACACAGACTCAAACATGCCTCTTGAATTTTCAGAGGCAAATCAAGCTGTGTCCCTCTTTGCACACAGGGAGTAGGTACTTAAGCAAGTTGAAAAACAAACTGGTGCATGCTTTGGGCTCTTTCAAGCCTGAAAAGGAAGTTTTACTCTGTATGAATACAGCAAGTCAACCTCTGCAACGTGAGTCCACAGGATTAGCATTCTTACCCAAAACTGAGCTGACTAGAAAAGAAATTAAAATCAGCTAAACTTCTTAATAAGAGATCACCCTAAGAGAGAAAAGACTTGGGAGGAGGACACAGCAGCATGAACAAGAAGACAGAAAACATCTACTCCAGCTGCCAAAAAGAGGCAACAAAGACTTCCATGACTTCTATCACTCTGAAGCTCATTTAAATCAAAGAGTCCAAAAGTCTGCTCTTCTTTAAGGAAAATCCAGTAACAAAACCATTAACACACAGGGATGAACCACCTTCAGTAATTACAGTTTTTATTCCCCTTTCATCAATAACCAGACACCAAAGATTGGGGACGGTGTCCTCCTTGTGCCTTTTTGCACTTTTTTTCCTAACCTTTGGGCAACATTGTTAGTGCTACCACCCCACCTACTAGAGAACACATCGTAACAGAATCATCAATATGGAACAAAGCAAGTTGGTCTTCTATCTTCTCTTTCTAATATTAGTGCCATAAAAAAAATAAAAAGCAAAGCTTATTGAATACCTTAATTACCACCTAGATTTCAAGTATCATTTTATATAAAATATTCAAGATTTGCTTTACCTGGACACATTACAATCAAAATCCAATCCATCATACAGTGAATCTACAAAACAGTTTGCACTTCCCAGGGTTGATAACGAGTGCTTTGCAATATCAGCACTGTTCATTAACTTCATCATGGCTCTGGGATTTCCTCTAATATCATGTTTACAAGACCTATACAAAAAAAACACCAAGAGAGATAACAGTATAGAAAGGTAGGCATTTGAGCAGTAACACTAACTTTCTGAAAGGAATAATAGATTAAAGATATCAATTTTTTTTCTCTACACATTTTAGTATTATCTACAATGCCAATTGAAAGCTCGCAAAGAATAAAAGTGTCTATTTCAATTTCAACTAAAGAACACTGTGAGAGTCACCCTGAGCTCAGGCATTAATATTTATCACACAGAGTTAAGTCTTTTCTAAAGAGTTTCTCAGCTGAGCAAATCATACAAGTGACTGCAAGGAACAGCAGGAAAAGGCCTGCAAGTTTACAAATTTTAACCACAGGCTAAGATGACATTAGAACATTAGACATGCCAAAAAATAGTATGTTTCATCTAAAAAGTCTCCTTCTGTGCTACTATGCAACTGACCACCTCAAGATCATTACAGCTAATGTAATTCACTATTTATTTTTATTTATGTTTTATTTTTGTTCATTGTAAGATGAACGTGCCACAGAGACTTCAGCCTGATGACCCAAGCTCTGCCACACACCAACAAGAAAACCAAAGAAACCCCAGACAGGTGAGTTCCTTGCCACCCCAAAAGCTTGTGACTGAAAGGACATCAGCAGCCCGTAGTCACATACATCACCCAGAACAGTTTCACAGCTGATCCCTTATCCCTCAACACCAACTTCAGCCAACATCTACCCAATCCCGAGCATTTCCCAGTCTTCCTCCTTGGCCCCCAACAACTGACTGCTCCTTTAATATCTTTGAGGCATTTCACTCGCAGACAGTCTGCTAATCCGACAGCCTGACATGAATTCTTTTTTGTTTGTTTTGGAAAGCAAGCATCAGATAACGAAGTTCCTGTCCTAACAGCAACATGCTTGGAATTCAAAACCTACCTCTGAAATTCAGAAGCTAAGTGTTGTGCCAGAGCTTCTGTGAAGCAAACGCCGCCAATGCTATCATCTGTGTTTGTAGCAAGCACACGATATATTCCACTGTTTACTTCTATGACCGTGATAGAAAGCGATGTTCCACCAAGTTTATAAACCAACACATTGCTGCCACGTCAAAAAAAAAAGTAGCATTAATAAGCCATCTAAAATTATGTTTACTTTGACACTTTCTAAAAAGATGACCATCCTATCACATACTGCAGGTTTTAATCAGTTTTCTTAAAAGAATTTTATTTGGGGTGTTTGTATTTCATGCAACTTAGTACCACTGATTACTTGACAACGTTCCCTGAAGGACAAAATTAATCTATTTCATACAGTGAGAGCAGTCAACATTTTTCCTATAACACAACTGGGAAACGAACATTACATTCAAAATTACAGGCAGGAATTATATGAGAAGGGTAAAAAAAGACCAACCAAGAAGAAAAAAGACAACACATCTGTTTGCACTGGCATCAGTCATTGCTATTTTGAAAATCTTGTGAATTATGTGAATATTCATAAGGGAAACCCAATGCACCTACTGAACCCAGGACTGGGCTTTAGTTCTTTCAGCATACGCAAAATGACCCCAGCTCCCACAATTAAAAAAAAAACCACAGCTATGCCAAAATACATTTAAGGGATGCCTTTTTCTTCAAGCCAATCAGCTCATTAAAGAGCAAGCAGAATCTTTAAAGACAATTCTAAAAAAACCACGAAAAATTGAAACAAAACAAAAAACACCCAACAGAACAAAAGGATTTAAAACACTACGGATTTACATCTTCTAATTTGTTATTGGCTTTATTGAGAGAAAAAAGAAAAACAAGCCTCAAATCATTAATTTTCTATTGACTGCTAAGGCAACATAGAATTCCCTCATTTAAGATTTCTCAGGATTTAAGTTCAGCAGCTTAAATTTAAGAAGTAAAATATTAGGATTTTACCTTTTCCCAGTGGGTGAATCTTGGCCAATTCCATAAGCCAGGAGAGCGGCAGACGGTTCATGAATTAATCTCATAACATTAAATCCAGCAGCTGCAGCTGCTTCCCTGTGATAAAGGCATAACAGCATTTCATTTTACTTTAATGATTTCACTATAGTCACGCACGGTCTTAAGATTTCATCTGAACTACACGTGCCACCAACTCAGAACTTGGCTACAGCATGCCATGAACAAAGACTGGAAAAAGAAAGGTATCAACAAGTTCAGCTGCTATTGCGTTCTTCAGGTAGTTCTATCTGCTGCGTGCTCATTGTCAAAGAAAACCCTGATGTATCAGCCTACAAACCCTGTAAAAAAGAGCAAACCCTCCCCCCTAAAATAGAAGATGAAAAACCCCACCCTCAACCAAACTTCATCACTTATCTTTAAGTGTGGCATTAAAAGTTCTTGGTACTTTATTTCACCACATCTTGCTAGGAAAATTGCTTTTACTTCCAAATCCAGGTAGCACACTTCACTTCTAACATTTCCTTTACATGCCTTCTTGAAATTTCAGTAACCCTGGGACTGCCCTACAAGTTGTTTCCTCCACTTTGGTTATTCTTGCTGCTGCATTCTTCAGGTAGTTCTATCTGCTGCGTGCTCATTGTCAAAGAAAACCCTGATGTATCAGCCTACAAACCCTGTAAAAAAGAGCAAACCCTCCCCCCTAAAATAGAAGATGAAAAACCCCACCCTCAACCAAACTTCATCACTTATCTTTAAGTGTGGCATTAAAAGTTCTTGGTACTTTATTTCACCACATCTTGCTAGGAAAATTGCTTTTACTTCCAAATCCAGGTAGCACACTTCACTTCTAACATTTCCTTTACATGCCTTCTTGAAATTTCAGTAACCCTGGGACTGCCCTACAAGTTGTTTCCTCCACTTTGGTTATTCTGAAACTTGTATGCCAAAGCAATAGAATGTTTTCTAATACATACTGCAACTACCCAGCTCACCAATGTTTTATGGCCAACTTCAAATTTCTTTTAAGTATTTTATGACAGTTAAACATAAGGGCTTAAAATACACGCTACCAGTTATGTACAGCTTTAAGTCTACATGCTTTCACATGAAGGAACTTTTACAGCAGAAATTTTTCCAAAAAGAACTTGCAAGTAGAATATTGGTGTGTATTCCATGTCTGCTCTCTGAGAAAACAGTCCTCAATAAAGTCATGTAACACTACTTGGTTTGGTGAGTACTGTTGTACAAAGGGATGGGAAACTGATTGCATTTCAAAGGGGACACTGAAGATCCGAATCTGAAATGACATTCTATCCTTGATGATACCAGAATTCCCTCCCACTTCAATTGATTCAGAATTTCATTTTGGTTGCAATAGTGAATTCCAAGTCAGAATTTAATCTCCTGCTTTCGTATTTTCCCAATTAAGAAAGTATCCCTATGTCTTGGCTGAGAGTCACAAGCTCAAGTCCAGCAGGAGAATTCCCATTGCTGGTCTCCCAGCCGGTCTGCTTTAGGCATGATAAATAACAAAAAAAAGAAAAGTCTTAATCCTCTTACCCAAGGGCATTTTTCTGATTCTCTCCAAAATCAAATGGTACAGTGATAACAACGTCATTTACATCTGAACCCAATGCAGACTGAGCAGTTTCTGTTTATAAACATAGGCAGAACATGTTGATTAAAAGCAAAAAAAAAAATCAATATACCACATCTTAAAAATAAGACGACAGCTTAAAACACAAAACCAGACATGTCATGATTTTACTTATTATATACCTTTCATTTTACTAAAAATTAGTTTTGCGACGTCTTCTGGGTTAATAAGTTTATTATCGATTTCATATTGAAGTTTTCCATTCTTCTCAATTATCTGTAAGCAAAACCAACACACCTTTATTAGATACATTATTTGGTTATTAACAGAGAGCAATGTTTAATTCTGTTTCTGTTCGCAGTATTTTTATCACAAGATGTTGTAACCTGTGTTTTCTCCCAAAGCTAGGAAACATCACAATACTATTATTCAAATATATTAAGAATCATCCCTTTGGACAATTGCAAGAATTATATATTTTTTCTGTTAGACTATATTACAATGGCAGATCTCAGAATAAGATACATTGTCTACTTTATACAAAGAGAAATATTCTATACAGCAACAAATTGAACTCATACAATGACAGCTGACACTACAGAACACAAACACGATGTGGCACAAACAATGCCTAGAAGAAAAGTGTAAAATGATGGCAGTTACAAGAGAAACAACAAGAGAAAACTAGATGATACTCACAGAACATTTGCTTTCTGCAATATATTTCTCTGCCTGGGGGTCACCAGAGCTGTCCAGACAAATACAAACCAACAAAATAAATCATATGCTCAAGGGTAACTGCACAAATTCATCTTGCTGATATTCCTTATAACATCTACAGCATATGAAGCCCTACTTCAACCAAAATTCCTGTTTCCACTCTATGGATACATTGACACAGGAGAAAAAACAACAGTTCTGATTGCTCGTATCTTTCAGTTTCCTTTCCCCAAACTAGTAGTAGAAAAAAATACTGACTAGATAGTGAGAAGGGAAAACAAAAACCAACACATTGTTTTAACCTGCTAGCCCCAATAATCACTATTGAAAGATTTTAGTGGCACTTTTGTTGCACTGACTGAAATAACACAACAGCAGTAAGATGACTATCCTTATTCCTCTACTAACTACGTCAAGTTACACATCTCAAAAGCGCTGAGAAATTCATCAGATCAGACATTGTCATGTCAGCTCCTTCCAGTGAGAACTGTAACACAGCCGGGTCATCACTGAGTTCTGTCCCATCTCTGATGTAAGACCCAAACCAACAAGTTTAGTTCCAGCATCACTGCAACTGCCAATGCAAACTCTCACCGCTAACGTGTCCTTTACATGCCTTCTTGACATTTCAGTAACCCTGGGACTGCCCTACAAGTTGTTTCCTCCACTTTGGTTATTCTGAGACTTGTATGCCAAAGCAATAGAATGTTTTCTAATACATACTGCAACTACCCAGCTCACCAATGTTTTATGGCCAACTTCAAATTTCTTTTAAGTATTTCATGACAGTTAAACATAAGGGCTTAAAATACACACTACCAGTTATGTACAGCTTTAAGTCTACATGCTTTCACATGAAGGAACTTTTACAGCAGAAATTTTTCCAAAAAGAACTTGCAAGTAGAATATTGGTGTGTATTCTGTATCTGCTCTCTGAGAAAACAGTCCTCAATAAAGCCATGTAACACTACTTGGTTTGGTGAGTACTGTTGTACAAAGGGATGGGAAACTGATTGCATTTCAAAGGGGACACTGAAGATCCGAATCTGAAATGACATTCTATCCTTGATGATACCAGAATTCCCTCCCACTTCAATTGATTCAGAATTTCATTTTGGTTGCAATAGTGAATTCCAAGTCAGAATTTAATCTCCTGCTTTCGTATTTTCCCAATTAAGAAAGTATCCCTATGTCTTGGCTGAGAGTCACAAGCTCAAGTCCAGCAGGAGAATTCCCATTGCTGGTCTCCCAGCCGGTCTGCTTTAGGCATGATAAATAACAAAAAAAAGAAAAGTCTTAATCCTCTTACCCAAGGGCATTTTTCTGATTCTCTCCAAAATCAAATGGTACAGTGATAACAACGTCATTTACATCTGAACCCAATGCAGACTGAGCAGTTTCTGTTTATAAACATAGGCAGAACATGTTGATTAAAAGCAAAAAAAATCAATATACCACATCTTAAAAATAAGACGACAGCTTAAAACACAAAAACAGACATGTTATGGTTTTACTTATTATATACCTTTCATTTTACTGAAAATTAGTTTTGCGACGTCTTCTGGGTTAATAAGCTTATTATCGATTTCATATTGAAGTTTTCCATTCTTCTCAATTATCTGTAAGCAAAACCAACACACCTTTATTAGATACATTATTTGGTTATTAACAGAAAGCAATGTTTAATTCCATTTCTTTTCGCAGTAAAAAGCACCAGGCTGTGTAAATACTTCCTGCGCTAGTGCTCTGTAACAGGAGAGTAAATGCTTTCAAGATGCTTATCAAAAAAATCCCAAAGACCCCTTGTCTTACCCAACAGACATGACAGTGACATTCATAGGTACTTAAAGTCTCCAGTGTTTCTTTTTGTATTATAAAGTGTTCTTTAGTACAAAAGCAACATTTAGAACTAAAGTACTTGCCTGCTTATAGTCCATAAGAAAAAAAGTCACAACTATTTATACAAGCACATCAATACAAACAGCCAAAAACCAGAGAAAAACTTGTTCCTTTTTTAGGAATGTATTTTCCAGGACAGTTTTTCTCTTGTTTTGCAAAAAGGTTTCTAGTAACAAGTATGGTATTATCCAAATTTAATGCTGAGATTAAATCAAGTGGTTAAGCATTTTTATCACAAGATGATGTAATCTGAGCATTTTCTACCAGTGCTAGGAAACATCACAATGCTATTATTCAAATATATTAAGAATCATCCCTTTTGAGAATTGCCAAGAATTACGTATTTTTTTCTGTTGGACTACATTACAATGGCAGATCTCAGAATAAGATGTTGTCTACTTTATAAAAACAGAAATATTCTATACGGCAACAAATTGAACTCATACAATGAGAGCTGACACTACAGAGCACAAACAATGCCAAGAAGAAAAGTGTAAAATGATGGCAGTTATTCCAAGAACAACAAGAGAAAACTAGATCATACTCACAGAACATTTGCTTTCTGCAATATATTTCTCTGCCTGTGGGTCACCAGAGCTGTCCAGACAAATACAAACCAAAAAAATAAATCATGGACAATTGCAAGAATTATATATTTTTTCTGTTAGACTATATTACAATGGCAGATCTCAGAATAAGATACATTGTCTACTTTATACAAAGAGAAATATTCTATACAGCAACAAATTGAACTCATACAATGACAGCTGACACTACAGAACACAAACACGATGTGGCACAAACAATGCCTAGAAGAAAAGTGTAAAATGATGGCAGTTACAAGAGAAACAACAAGAGAAAACTAGATGATACTCACAGAACATTTGCTTTCTGCAATATATTTCTCTGCCTGTGGGTCACCAGAGCTGTCCAGACAAATACAAACCAACAAAATAAATCATATGCTCAAGGGTAACTGCACAAATTCATCTTGCTGATATTCCTTATAACATCTACAGCATATGAAGCCCTACTTCAACCAAAATTCCTGTTTCCACTCTATGGATACATTGACACAGGAGAAAAAACAACAGTTCTGATTGCTCGTATCTTTCAGTTTCCTTTCCCCAAACTAATAGTAGAAAAAAATACTGACTAGATAGTGAGAAGGGAAAACAAAAACCAACACATTGTTTTAACCTGCTAGCCCCAATAATCACTATTGAAAGATTTTAGTGGCACTTTTGTTGCACTGACTGAAATAACACAACAGCAGTAAGATGACTATCCTTATTCCTTTACTAACAACGTCAAGTTACACATCTCAAAAGCGCTGAGAAATTCATCAGATCAGACATTGTCATGTCAGCTCCTTCCAGTGAGAACTGTAACACAGCCGGGTCATCACTGAGTTCTGTCCCATCTCTGATGTAAGACCCAAACCAACAAGTTTAGTTCCAGCATCACTGCAACTGCCAATGCAAACTCTCACCGCTCCGCTAACTGATGAATCCCAATAAGCATTACATCTATGTTTCATGACTGTAACAAAACCAATACACAGTTTCATGTAAGTAAAAACACAGTAGATTTTAGAGAAGGGTTTTTTTTGTTGGCTTTTTTTTTTTAGAAAACATCCAGGTAACAAGATGCTTTCATTAAGAACATCAGATCAGACACTGTCATGTCAGCTCCTTCCAGTGAGAGCTGTAACACAGCCGGGTCATCACTGAGAAGTTCTGATCCATCTCTGATGTAAGACCCAAACCAACAGGTTTAGTTCCAGCATCAGTGTAACTGCCAGTGCAAACTCTCACAGCTCCGCTAACTGATGAATCCCAGTAAGCATTACATCCATGTTTCATGACTGTACAAAACCAGTACACAGTTTCATGTAAATAAAAACACAGTGGATTTTAGAAAAGGTTTTTTTTGTTGTTTTTTTTTTTTTTTAGAAAACATCCAGGTAACAAGATGCTTTCATTAAGAAACTGAAGTATGCAGCTTATATGCTGCATTGGGGAGGGACTCTTTGCCAGGAAGGGTAATGATAGGACAAGGGGAAACAGTTTTAAATTGGAAGAAAAAAGATTCAGATTATACTAACAAGAAGATGCTTTAGTTAAGAAACTGAAGTATGCAGCTTATATGCTGCATTGGGGAGGGACTCTTTGCCAGGAAGGGTAATGATAGGACAAGGGGAAACAGTTTTAAATTGGAAGAAAAAAGATTCAGATTATATCTCAGGAAGAAATTTTTTAACTATGAGGGTGGTGAGACACTGGCACAGGTTGCCCAGAGAAGCTGTGGCTGCCCCATCCCTGGAGGTGTTCAAGGCCAGGCTGGATGGGGCTTGGAGCAACCTGCTCTGGTGCAACTTGTTACTGAATTTAACACTTGGACTTTCACAGACAAATTCAGACAGAAAAACCACACATCTCTTTACTCTTCATACTGAAATGAAATGTAGAATAAGTAGTTCCTAATATACTTAATTTTTAAGATGTGGCATACCATCCTGTCAGTGCGAGATTAATTTGTTACCGAATTTAAGACTTTGACTTTCACATACAAATTCAGACAGAAAAAACACACATCTCTTTACTTTTCATACTGAAATGAAATGTAGAATAAGCAGTTCATAATATACTCAATTTTTAAGATCTGGCATACCATCCTGTCAGTGCGAGATTAATTTAACTCCTATCACACCAGGTTCAAATGCCTTCAACATCGGCCCTGAGGCTGCTTTTCACTGCCCAGCTTTAATGGGGGAAACCAACCTTTTCACCCTCCCTTTCACACCTGTGCTCTTACCTTCGCCCGAGGATCTGCTTTACTTTCACTACGGTGTTTGCAATGTTTCTTATCCTGCTTTGCTTTGCAGCTAAGCCAACAACCTGAGGGAAAAAAAAAAAAAAAAGAAAAAAAAAGAAAAGAAGTGAGCAGCAGGCAGCGCTCCCCTCCCCTCCCGTCCAGACCCCCACCGCGGACGGGAACCCTCACCTCCTCGCTCTCCGAGAAGGCCACCACCGCAGGAGTGACCCTGTCCCCGGCGTCGTTGGCGACCACATCGGCGCGACCATCCTGTGGAGAGAGGCGTCCCCTCAGGGCTCCACCCGCTGCGTAACCCCCGAGGGAGCAGAGACAGCGGCGAGCCACCGCCTCCCACCCCCGCTAAGGACCCTCCCCGGAGCGGCCACGCCGCCCCCAGGCCGCCCCGGCCCCTCACCTTATAGACGGCAGCGCAGGCACAGGTAGCGCCCAGGTGAACGCCGATGGCGGCCATCAGCCCCTCAGCCTCCACGCGCGCCCGCCGCCCCAGCATGCACCGCGCGCTCCCCTCCCCTTCCCGCCCGGCCCCCAACCAATCCCGCTCCCCGCTTCTCCTCGGCCGCCAATCAAAGCCCGCACCGCCCTCTCTCGCAAACCAATCGCGGAGAGGCGGACTTGGAGCAGCCAATGAGAAAAATGGACGGAGTGGC